TAGAAAACGCAGGACGTGTGGCTTAATGAAGGCCAAGTATTAAGGGGTATAAATAGGGGAGAAAATCAGATTTTTCTCCCCATTATCACCTACAATTTCTGGATATATATATATATAGAGAGAGAGAGAGAGAGAGAAAACTCAAGCTTCCTTCATTTCTCCTTCTGATTTACAGCAATCCGACCGTCGAATCCCTTCGAGCTAAGAACAAAAGTTGTTCTGCACGACAAGAGCTACGCCTACATACCAAAGATCGGGAGTTTTGCCACAATCTCGAAGATGAATTTTTTTGGAGATAAACTTTAAGGCTTGATTTGGGTATTTGGAGTTTCTTCTACGTATATTGATGCTACAAGAGATAAAGTTACTTTCCTAACTAGGTTTATTTCCAAGTTAGATTTGAAATATAAAATGGATAGGGTGTTAGAGATGAAATCTCATGTATAACACTAGTATTGTTGAAGTATGGAAATGGGTATAGGAAAATGTTAAAACCAATTCTTGTATGAATGGGTTTGATGAAATTGCTTGATTCGGAATTTCATATGGAATTGTGTTGATATGGGCATACTATGTATTTACATAATATTTGTGCCTTATAGGTGTTTGATAAAATGCTTATGAATGAATAAGTGTGTTATTTGAATGAAAATGATATATCATTCTTTGGAGAGATTGTGGAATGTAATTATATGCTTTATGATATAATGTACATTGAGAAATTAGAAATGGTTTGTGGAAATGGAATGTGATCGTATTGTTATCATGATATGATGAACATACTATTGTAATTGCAATTGAAAACTTGATTACATTATGATATGGAATGCAATTGTTCATTACATTTGTATATGCGTGGGTAGTATCACATTCGTAGGCATTTGACAAGAGTATGGGTATCTGTGCATGGTTTGATCAAATACCATCATTGGTGAGTAGATACGTTGGCTCGGGAAAGTTGAATCTAGGTTCGACTGAGTCGCATGGGTTGCATTGAAAACAAGGGTCGAGGTTAGAAAGAAGGATTAGATTCTCCCTTGGGTGCAAGACCCGATAACTTCGGATATGGACGCTAGTTAGTATTGAGTTCATAAAGTGTGTCGGCATATACGAAGCCCAATGAAGTCCATAAATGGCATGTCAGTTGGGTACCTGTTGGTGGAAGTCTGTAAACCCACCCCAAGAAAGACCTAGGATTTATGAATTGTCATTAGATGTGTAACATCAATGGTAGATGCTTGAAATGCTTGTATACACACGCATGACATTACATGTGTTATGAGAGCTGGTGGAGGGCTCAAGTTGTATTGCATGTGTAAATTTCATCTCATGACATGGCGTGACATTGAGGCATTCATTTATGAATTGCATATTCTTAGATGGATGGTTGATTTTTGAATTTCATATGAACATTTCATACGTATCTGGGTTGGGGAGTAGCCTCCTTAAGAGATACTCTACTGAACGTGACTCACCATTTATGGGGACAGATTTTCAGGTGTTGGACAAGCATCGGTGGCGACTCTCACTTGGGCCCTTGATGACAAAGAAGCCGGGATATGGCTTTTAAATTGCATTTTGTAATTTATTATGTAATTTGTATTGGACTTGTAAAATTGTATAAAAGGTTAAGTAATGAACTCTTATGGACTATAATTTGTGTAAATGAATGAATGGATGAGTATGGGAAGTGATTAGATGGTTAAAGGTTGAAGATTGGAAAGATTTGAAAAAATATAGGCTCGGGTACTGGTACTTAAGTGATTAAGTACCGGTACCACGCTGTTGGATGACCTAGGTACCAATACCTAAACCTATAGGTACCAGTACTTGGATTCTAGTGGGCTCATATACTGGTACCCCGATGGATAGTGAGCTCAAGTATCAGTAACAAGAACACATGGGTAATGGTATCTAGAAAACATGGGTACCGGTACCTTGAAAATAGTGAGCTCAGGTACTGATATCAGTACCCCGATGGACAGTGGGCTTAGATACTAATACCAAGACATATGGATACCGATACCTAAAAAGCAATGGGCTTAGGTATCGGTACCAGTGTATATGGTTATCGATATCTTGCAAACAGAAGGCTCAAGTATCAGTACCACGTACCAGAGGAATCGGTACCTCACCCCAAAATTTGAAATTTTAAAATGTAACACTGAGGGGCATTCACTCTTTGAACGACCCCTACGGACAATGTAAATGGATAATAAAACACTCAAATTACTAGGGTTTGGACCTTGGAATGGTCTTGTGATGGATCTGTGTACAGGTTACGCATTGGATAGTGCTTTGGTACAAGGTAGATTATGCCCAAGGCTTTTTTTGGTTATGATTCCAGTGAATGGGGTGTAATGACAAGGTATCGGGATATGCGGTACTCACGGGTATACTTTCACTAATTGATGGGTGATCAACGGTTTGAGAAAAGTCCCCTAGATTTTGGGGCGTCACAATTACGAACAGTAGTACTTGGTAGACCACTAGGTTCAAATGGCTTCTTATGCATTCCCTTGGGTTAGTGACGATTCTCATCACTAAAACGTTACTGTCGTAGTGCGGGGTTTATACATCTTCACGGCAAATGTATAGTCAAATCCCTTTGATAAAGGTCCTAACCAATTTTTTCTCTGTCTAATTGTGATCTTGATTAGATAGTCGTTCAAAACGACTCTGATATTCTATCCCTGTGACAAATTTTGGCCAACTCACCATCAACTTTGCCTACTCAGAAGGGCCAAAACAAACTAGCAGCCCTTCGACAAATCTGGTCCATATGGGCATCCCATTGCATCTCCCTCAAGATTGATTCAAGCCAACCCAACCTTCAATTTTTCAAGTGTATGATGGAAGCGAAAAAAAAAATTCTACACAAGAGATCCATCCGGTCAGATCGCCACTCTCCCATCACGGAAATTCTACCTTTATTCATGGAAATCTTGATCATTGTCATATTTTCCACCTTGATTTTCTTTCCTAGTAAAACATTGGTTTTGTCCTTGTTGTACCTCATGATCTATTGGCTCCATAGGATTCACCACTGAACCTGCAGTGGTTTCTTGTAGATTCTTTGTAGGACAGTTAACCAAAGACTTGTGTGATTGTGGCTTGAAGGGATTCCTTTAGCTTTTCGAACTTTCAATCAAACTTTGATTCAAGTCTTGCCTCTAATCTGGCTTCCAATTGAGACTGATCTGTGATTGGTTGGAAAGAGTTACATGGAGCCATGGTATATGATTGCAGATCTTGTATACCAAGTTTTTTCTTCTAATTGCGTGTCAAAGGCATACACGAGATCACCGCTCTGATACCAACTTGATAGGACCCCAAAGTTCGATCAAAAGAATAACAAAAAATTTAGAAGAAATTAATAGAATAGGAGAAGAATTAGGAGAAAGGAAGAACAAAGTGATCTCTTCGAGGGGATCGTCCTCCAAATGCATGAAGCAAAGTAGTTTTTCATTGACGGTCAAAGAGCCCACAATGCATTACAATTTATTGACTACCTAGTCTCCAACAATTTAGTTAAATGGCTAAAATTAACAATTTAATTACAATTTATTTAAATGGCTAAAATTAACAATTTAATTAAATGCCTAAAATTACGGGATTTTGCTCATCATTTAATATTGTATTTTATAGTCGCTGGGGTTGAGAGTAAGAAAACGTAAATGGGCTCTACATTCATTACCAAGGTATACAAACTATGTTGCATTCACCAATTTACAGGTAAGTGCATTGTCAACTCATTGATATGCTGAGATGAAATTCAATTACGATTCACTTTAGTAATTAGTTGTTTTAATCATAGATCACCGTCGCTGCAACTTGAACATCAAAAGTTCCATTGGGATTCGTAGTTAGCACTGATAAAATCTTGTACAGCAATGTATCAAAATCCGACCTAAATGCGCCTAAATGCATATTTTTGAAATCAATCTTCCTCCACCTCGAAAGGAGCCGAATGCAAACATGTTGATTAATAATTATGAACCCAAATCTAATTGGATCAGACCCAATAAATCAAGCAAGCCCAAGTTAGCTAAAAAGCAACTCAAGCCCGCTTTATCAATCCATCTCAGTCCAAGATCCAAAAAACCCGGAAGATAAGAGTACATGGGAGAAAGATTATCATAATACACATTCACGAATATCAATTATACCTTAATTGTACTTACTTTTTGTAACTATCTTCTCCGAAAAAAGTAGTGCCCTCGTACTCACGTCACCGCCTCACCATATCTATAAATTGTATGTTTTCTCCACATGGAGACAGACATCTCCCAAGACACCTTGACACCTTTCTACACCGGTACACATAGCTTTTCTCCTAACTACTGTATCTCTCCCGGAGCATATATCTTTCGGAGCTTTCTCTCTTTTACTTTATTTATCAATAAAACCCCCCAATTACCGCTGTCGTTTTTCAAGAGTAAAATAAATCACCCCAACCAAACCACTATATATCTATGTTTTTTTCCCCCTATTTACTATTTTATTATTGATTGCTTTATTTATTGTCCATTAATTACATCTTATCACACACTCGACTATTCATCTTACACGAAGACCAATTCGTGCATCATCAAGTACAATAAAAGAAAACTGAACATTGGAAAAAATGTAAACTAAGCAAAAAGTGTATGTAAATCTTATTCAGGTACCATTTGACATCGTTTTCTATTACCTTTTTAGTTTTTTATATTATTATATTAATCAAGTAATTTTGTTTTTTCAATATGCACTATTTTTGTGTTTCTAAGTCCAAACTCAATTGCATACATAGGAAAATACAGGTGCACATGTTTATTCCAAATGCACGCTGTCATGCCTTATGGAAAACCATGGACCTTTATCACGTCAAACGCATTCAATCAGTCCTCTGGCAGTCTATTCTGAGCATTGCCACATGGCAATAGTCAACTTCAACCCTGCCTACCCCACCAAAAACAATGGAATGATGATTGAGATGAGAATCTGCACTTCGTTTCAAACTACAATACTAAAAAGATCAAATTTTATCAACTTGAAGCGAATTCAATAAAAACCACACTAGAACCAGCAAATAAAACTATGAAATCCTTCTTAAATCAACTATATTGCAACACTTTCCCACCTTGATGCTAGGTTCTCCTATAAGTACAAAACCGACCCTACCCACGCTAAAGGTCTAGCTTTCCAAGGCAAGATGATAATACCAAACTATTAATAAAGGTACCCTATTGCTTAAAGCCACAGGAGAAAAAACAAAAACAGCACTAAAAAATAAAAAGGGAAACTTAAACCAAATCCCCAAGGGTATAAACCCTACAAGAAGCTAACTAGTGGCTAAACTGCCCATGAAGAGGAAAAATGGGGCTTAATATCTCAGATTCCTAGAAGGAGCAGAGCCTGCATTGCATTTAATTAAATCTTTGAAGTGGCTTGCACACCTTTTGTTTCCCTTAATCCATCTCTAAAGCAAGCAAGGCAGATCCAATGGGGTAGTCCAATTGCTCAAGGAAAATTATCCAAGCATTTGCTTCAAATCTAGCCCGGCAGATATTCCGACCAAAAGTAGTTCTAAGCTAGCAACCATTTGCAACCCCATTTGCCACAACTTTATTCTCGGAAACTGCAACTGGTTTTGCACCCTTTGGAGCATCTCCAGATTTTACAACTGCTCCATTTGCTGAAAGCTTAATATCACCATTAGTCTGAATGGAGGCTGTAGGTTCCTTGACCAAGTCTAAGGCAACTTCTGATGACTTCTGGAATTTGAGTTCCCCAATTGTGAGATCTTTGTTTTTTTCAACAGTGGGCTTTCCTTCCCGTGCCTGGCATAGGCAATTTAACAAATGTTAGCCTTTATACCAAACAACAGTAATCATTGTCCCCAAACAAGAATGGGTTCAAATGAATACTGAGAAGGGTGAAAGGTAAATGAGCTTAAGATAATTCACAGCTTCACTATTTCAACCGGTGTACTGTAAATTATGCAGTGAGAAATCTCTTGCCTGTTTTTGGAAATGCTGTTGCTTAGCCTTTTTCTCCAGGATCCTCATCTGGCGATCCTCATAGAAGTCAAAATCATCCAGGATGCATTGTTTGCTGCAATGGTCCTTAAAAATTTTGAGCACTTGAAGTCCCTGTTCCAACTTGACCTGCACAAACATGGAAGTTTCCAGCCTGAATTTAATTGAAGAGCTAACCAAACAAAACTTTTAAGAGCTAATACCTCTTGAGTGTCCCTGCTGTTAGTGACAGGTTTATTCTCATTGTTTTCAAGGGTGATGTGCTTCAACAAACTGTTGGGTACATCCTTCACCATGTGCCACTTAACAGTGAAACAACCAATCCACTTGTCTTGCTGCCAATACTCCACATTCTTGTTGAAATCAACTGGCCCAACCATCTCCGCAACACCAACAAATTGCCCACTAGTATTGACCTAAAAAAAATAACGAAATTTCTAAGAAAAAAGTAAAGCAGCAGAAGGAACTACCTCTCAAACAAGTCGCATCCAGATGCATACCGAGAAGAAAAGAAATATAGGACAGTCACCAAGCTTCTGCAGAGCCTCCTGGTATGCTGCATCAAGCTTCTTATTACCATGCGGAGTGCTGGCCCACACATTATACTTGATGCTCTTATGGACATCGTCCTCACTGTATGACTTAATAATGAAAAACTTAGCATCAGTATATTTCTCGGGAAAATCTGCTCGGTTATATTGCTGACGATCAGGAATTGCACTCGACTTTTCCTTCTCATCATCATTAGTGCCTGCCAATGGGATATTCTGCCCCTTGACTGCCAAGGCAACAGGTGCAAACCCCGTTTGATTCTTAGAGCTCTTGGCTCTCGGGCCCCTATTCAACTCATTCAAACCATCCATGTTCCCATTGCCATAACCAAAGAGTCCATTGCCTCGTCCCCTAGGCTTATACTTGCTATCAACAGCCAACCACCCACGTCCATTTGTTCGTGATTCATAACCATTAGAACCCAGAACAGATCTGAAAGTGTTCCCATAATGCCCATATAATTTGTTCGGGTACATCCTATTTATATATCCATTAGCTGTGCTCATGCCAGGCACCAGCCTTGGATGTTGCAAACCCTGCTGATGAAACAAATGAACATTTTATAAAATAGAAAATCTGGATCATCCAAAAACTATGAAAACAAGTCCACAGGAACTTCACGAGTAGAGCTGATCAAACAGAGGAAAAATATATAATTTACCAACATTCAACCAGTGAGTTTTAAATGAGATTTATAACATGATGCAGTTGGAATGGTTGCACCAATTGGGTCATAACCCACATGATCCTCTAGTGTGTATCCAGATGGACCAAATTTAATGGTTAAGCCCACCTCTTCAGGAGTAAGGTTTCTGTTTCAGCTTACTTCTAACTTGTAACCTGCTATTTCTTTTCAGGCAATTTCTATATGGCATTATTTAGCTAAAAGATTAATCTCGTGCAAATGACAAAATTTACATACCATGAGATGAGAATTTGGACGGAGATTCTGATTCCTTGATAATGAGTATCCCCCAGTTGGTGAGGTGATAGAAGCACTTTTCACATGCCCAGGCTGCCCATCTGAAAATATGGAGCCATCTACCCATGTTATCGGAGACCGCAACCCATCAAAACCAAATCCTAGATCCTGATAACCAGAAGACACTATTCCTCCTGGTATTGCTCCCCTTCCATAGGAGCCACTTGTATTAAATGATGAATTCTGATATGTTGGTCTTACTGGCGCTGAACCATTATTTCCCTTGATGCCCCCAATATTTGCAATGCCGTTGGAATTCCCGTTAGCAGTTTCCACAGACAAAGGCAGTTGGTCAGCAGCTGCAGAGGTGGAAATCTCACCTTTGGGAGGAGCAGCTGGACTAGGATATAGTCCACTAGTTGGAGTTGGAGGTTGAAAATACGGAGTTGGATACTGGTAGTGCTGAGCTCCATAAAGCTGGCCATCATGTGCCACAGTCGGAACTGGGGAACCAGCTGGTGAATATGGGCCATAGGGTGCATAACCATAGCCGTGGTGATACATAAGCGACCCATTGTCCCCATAAGCTCCCTGCATTCAGGCAAAGAAAGAATAAAATAAAAAATTTAGACCATCAACAAATTGCTCAAGGATAAGGCTTCACAAGACAAAAGGAATACATCACAACATACAAGCGAATCATGGTTACAGCGGGTAAAAATTAGGCATCATAATGTGCAGAAACATATATGAGCAGTTATGAAAACTTACAGGAGTCATCTCCACTCCATCCGGACTCAGAAATCTGGAGTAGTCGTCCCACTTATCACAAGTCCCATCATAGCCTAAGGGGGAAAAAAATGCAAAAACGTCACAATAATCACCAAGAAGCAAACAGGATTGCACATGTCTACTGAAAATTTAGACCGTCTGAGTTGAAACAGCTCCATTCAATTTTGAATGTACTTTTTTCATGTTGGCAAAGTCCCAAAACATATCAAATTTAAAATTCAGAAAGAGATTGGCTTACCACCATAATAATAGGCAGTAGGATAACTGTTGGCAACATAGCACATGGTCGGATCCATAAAATCTGGCGGCGAAGGTGTCATGGACCGATCAAATGACTGGATCTTACCATTTTTGTTGTCAGCCGTATCAACACAAGGCTACGATTTTGGAAATAACAATCAACCACCACAGAAAAATAGTCCAGTGTAAAAATGGGATCCTCTATTCAAATAAACTGCGAGTAAGATAAAACTGAGAATCACCTTCTTGGTGGGCTCTTGAATTTCCAGAGTCTTAGTCTGGGAATCCATGGACAACTTCTGCAGCAAATCTGCAGCTTCTATAGCAACAGAAGTAAAGGGATACAAAATTTGTGGATAATTTATTCAAATGTCACTTGATTTAAAAAATAACTGCTCAGTCTATCAAAAACCTAAAACAAATAGAAATTAGGCAAGCTCCAAAACTCCACCCCTACCATGCAAAGTAGGTGAATCAGTAAGGCTCCTTTGTAAGGTCTAGAGTCAAGATTGCAGTATTTGTGCGACCAATCCTTTAGGAAAAACATCAAAATTGAAACAGAAAGCAAACCTAAAGAGAGATAAACTGGTAATTCTATTTTATTATTACCACCGTAAAACTTATTAAGAAACATATTAAAAGTAAAAACACAGCCAATCCCAGTCATATCCATCTATGTGCAATTCAACACAACTAACAACACAATAGAGAAGCATAAGAAAGACGACCAAACAGATATGAAAAGTTGAGAAAAAGCACATAACAAATCCTATGTACACACTAAATCTCATATACATAAGCATCACAAATCAAGAATGAAACTAGAAAAACAGCACCACTGAATAAATTTAAGCACAAAATCCTAGACAACAGCCTTAGACTCAACGTACCCAAATCTACCACAAGGAATAACAACCACACAAGAACCATGAATTCTCACACCAACGAGACCATGAATTCTCCCAACAACGAGACCATGAATTCTCACAACACATACATAAACACGGAGAATAAAAACCAGGATCCAGACATAACAAAAGGAATAAATCATAAATTCCAGGTGTGTAAAAAGTAGGTCAGAGTCGGTAAGGATACGATCTACAGCAGGAGCAACGGCGGCCATGACCAGATCTTTGAAAGGGGCGACCTTGGAAGTCTAATCCAAAAAGGTTTAGATAGGAGAGTTAGACGAGATCTAGGGGGACAAACGGGCAGAGTGTCAGCCGCCACGAAAAGCTACAGGGGGTTTGGGTTTCGGGAGGCGGAAGAGGGTTTTGAACTATCCTAACGTGGTGATCCAAATAGCCCCACGGCTTCACTCCCTCGGGCCCCTCAATTTCTCTGTATTTCTCTTTTCACCCACTTGCAATGCACCACTTGCACGTGAAAATATTTTTTTTAAAAATTAATAAATAAATATTTGATATATGTTTACTTGAATTAAATATGAATTCAAATTTATCAAACTTATTTTTTCATCGTTCATGCTCTACTATAGAATTTTTGAAAATTTTGTATGTTTTCAAGATTTGTTATTCTAACTTTCAAACAAATGATAAAAAATAAATAAATAATTAAAGTTTGAAAATTAAATTTTTTAAAATTTAATTTGAATAAAATTCTACTTATAAATCTATCTAATAAAGTAACTAGATTGTCTGTCTTTAGTTTTTCGCAGTTTAAATCATTTTGATTTGATGGTCGTAATTAGACCTTCATTCTTTTTACAACTATAAATCTCTCATACAATTCTCTTTATCTATCTATCTATCATACACTTTATCTCTCATACTATTATCTTTTTTTTTCTCTTGTGTTGTTTTTGTTATTATTTACTCCATAAAACATATAAAACTTCATGTCATCCAATTATTTATTCCTTGAAACTAATTCAAAATTTTTGTATATCTGACCATATGCATTTTATCATTTACTTCTTAATTTGTAAATAACACTGAATGTAAATAAAAAAATAGCACATTGACTATAAACACCAAATAATATTTAACATAAAATGAATCTTAGATTGTAAATTAATATATATTTTTATCAAAAATTGACACTTAATTTTCTCTAATTTATATTCAAATTTATCGAAGTAATATCAAATTAATATTAAAATTTATTTAATCAATTTTTTTAGTACTAAATTATATCAATTTTTTGAGTACTAAATCAACTTTTATTTTATTTTATTTTATTAAATTTTTAATTTTTTTGGTACTAAATTTAGAGAAGGACAATTGTAAAAATAATAAAAAATTTTAGAATAAAATTATCAATTTTCGTTCGCAAAATTGACGAAAGAAAGATAGAAGGTCTCCGTGTAATGAATAACAAACCTCAAGGGGTCTACCTGTTATTTATATAATATGTTCATGTAATATTTCCAAAAACTAGGGAATATCCAAGATTTTAGTTTTTTACCCTATTTTTTAATTAAACATTAATATATTATTATTTTACCTTAAAAACTTAAATTATTCTATTTCTAATAAAATCAATTATTGGTTATAAAGCTTTGTTAGTAACCAAAAAAAAAATATGTGTGAGTGTGTTTTTGTGTATATTTACATGTGGAGCATTGAACATTTAGTGATTAAATTTATAATTATATTGTGTCATTTGGGGTTGAATTATGATAGTGATGATAAATTCATGAGTTTATAAATGAGCAAAATTTGGTTAATTTTATTTACCGTTTAAAGATTGTAAATTTAATTGTATTCTATTTGTAATTTTTCTTTTTAGCTTAAGGTATTCGTTACATAGAGATAGGGTGGATTAGAAATATTGTAGTTGAGTTGATAATTATATTGTGTTTGTAAACCCCCACGTGATTATAGTAATATCATAATAAATTGTGTAGTAATTTTAATATATATAATGGCATAGGAATGAACCATATAGGTTATAACTGTAGAAATAATGATATTGTGAAAACCCAGATAAATATATGAAATCGTTTGTAATAGAAGTTGTACCAACTAGGTTTGATGTTCAAAAGTTTTTTGTATAAGTTTGGGTTGACTTTGGAAGGGTTAAAGGTGGATTGGAAATGAAAAAAAAAAAGGGACAAAATTGCCAAAGGGTACCGTACGCATACCAGTACAGCCGACAGATTCCAGAAATTTTAAGTCGCGATCTGGGTCCGATTTCTTCCACTATAAATATATAAAAGACGTCTCATTTAGTCTCATTTCAACACCTCAAAATCTAGAAAACCTTAGAGAGGAAGAAAGGAAGAGAAGAACACAAGATAAAAGGGGATTTGCGTCTTGCATTGAATCAAAACCCTAGATTTCTTCAATAACACCAAAGTAGGAGTTTCTTCCTATTCTCTTACATGGAGGTTAGAGTTTACTTATACGTATTCTTTTGACTCTAAATCTTATTTATTTGTTAGTAAATCATTGATTCTTAATATTTTTGCAAACACTATCATGTTTTAAACAAATCTATGGTGGGATAATCATTAAATCTCTTCTTCTTGACTCAAAACCCTAATTTTCAAGAGAAACGAATTTTTCTCTTGATTTTTTCTTTGTTCTTCATTTCAAAACTTTAGTGTTTTATATTGAACCACAAAATAGTATTTATGATGATCTCTTGTGGATATTTGGATGACCATGGGTAGCCATTGACCGGATATCGTAGAGTGGGTTAGATGCGTTTCTTACTCCGTGTGGGTTTGAAGGTTTCCTATCACTCGTAGTAGGGTTGGTGTTTTGTGAGGACCAAACTACTATTCACTCACGGGTACCGAGGAGAAGGGGTAGTATACTATTCATGGGTTGGATTCGTCACTACCATGAGTTGGTATACACTCTTATCAATGGTTGGATATCCTTACGAGGATTTGGGTGTGTGTGTGTGGGCCAAGATATTTTCGATGTGTTTATTCATGTGAATCATGCATTATACCTAAGATACGAATACAAGTTGTGGGTTCATGATTTATTATACCAGAAAAGGTTTCCTACAAGGGCTTGTGGAGGTATGAGATTCTACAAGAACTTGTGAAAAATGGTTTATGGTTGTAAATGATTTGTTAATACCATAAATGGTTTTCTGCAAGAGCTTGTGGAAGTATGAGATTCTACAACAACTTGTAGGAAATGATTTATGGTTGTAAACGATTTGTTAACTGTAATTTGGCGTTATTACTTTACTTAATTTATTGCTATTCCGTAAACTTGAGATCCGTTGAAATGTCCTGATTTTATTTCAAAAATTAATATATGATATTTGAGAAATGAGACCGACTTGTTTTACATGTAATCTAAACCTTGTTCGAGTTTGAGAGGAATGTTGCTACAGAGCTTAGTGCTCATCCCCAACAAACAATATATTTATAGATTACCTGTTAGATAAGGAGCTCAGAGTCGATGAATAGGTGCATTGGAAAACTCCGCTAGACGGGCACGTGGAACCCGAGGTGGATGTTTAGGGCTATAATATCCTAGGTGCTAGACTAGGAAATTCCTTTTGAGACTTAGTGGAGTCTAATATTTTGTTATTTCGTTGCAAGTTTAAATGTGTTTCTTTTGGATGTAATTGTCATGGTTGGACATATTCTTTTGGGATGATGTTGTAAATATTAGATATGATGAATGGATTTTTATTTATTGCTAGATTATATTAGTTGCTCTCATGATGTGAATGGTTTTTAAATTATAATGCCGTCCAAGGTGGTTTTTGGGTCGTTACAAATTTTGATATCAGAGCCTAGGCTGTAAATCTTACATGGGAGTTGTAGGTTATGGATTACCATTAGAGAGATAGGACTAGGTTGAATGAAATTGGGGATTTAAAGTTTTATACAAGCCTTATACTTTAGGTTAAAGTGATAGTTGGGATTTCCTGTACATCAATGAAACTAAATTGTGAATTGATGTGCAGGATGGAGGGTGAACGTGGACGTAGACGTGGACGGGGACGTGATGGCCAAGCAAACCCACCATTACCACCTCCAGATGCAATGCCTAAGGGAGCTAACCACTCTAGTATGACGCCAGAATAGAAACAACAACCAGCGATGACAGAACTTCGCAAGGGGAGGTCTGATTAGGACTGGTGCTAGCAGCAGTGGAGCTACACAAAGGGTAGCTCCGTACCACCGACTTGGCCAAGCTTCAGGGCAAAGGAATCAAGTCGTTCGAGGAGCGGGGGGTTACTTGGAACAGAGCAGACATTGACCCACGTCAATGCTTCGCATGTGGAGGGTTCAAGCACCTCAAAAATAATTGCCCATCGATTCCACTAAAGACCAATCAAGCAACGGGACAAGTACATGCAAATAAGCCGCCACGACGGAAGCCATTACAGTCGAAACCATTAGGAGCTATAGCCCCAGGTGGTACCAAGCAAGAAAGAGTTTTTGCTTTGACCTAACCGGAGGAAGATGTTTCCGATGCAGTTGTTGAAGGTATCTTTCTTCTTTAAAATATTTGGCCCTAATTTTATTCGATCCCGGTGCTACTCATTCATTCATATACACTACATATGCTCTTCATTTGGGACTGGACTTAGAGAAGCTAGAACATGCCTTCAGTATTGACATGCCTACAAGAGAATAGTTGGATACTCAACGGGTGTGTAGAGGTTGTATGCTTCAAATTGGGGAGTATTAGACGAGGGTGAAGGAAAATATAGGCTTGACTTTGTTTGAAGTGATATGTTTATAAGATAAGTGGGATTGGTTGTTTATTTAGGTTATGGATTGATTATTGGTTCGAATTCTTGGATTACCTAGCTTAGAGGTGTTGGCAAAAATTTTAAGATGGATATGCTAGTTTTATATCCTATTGTTATGGACTATTCTTGGAAAAGGATGGTAATTTAAATTTTGATTTGTAAATGATGCTAAGCATGAATCTTTATGCAAGTCATATTATCTATATTTGAGATGGGTATGAGATAAGATTTATGATAAATGACACCCATACTTGAGTTGGACAAGTAGAGCAGAACCATCAGTCACACATACTACCTTTCACTAATTTGATCATAACTCTTTGTTGAAAAGTCCAAATGGTGCACCGTGTTTTTTGTTAGAATCCTAACTCGTGTATCTTTCCAACCATATAGGTCACACATGCTAGAAATACTTGAGTTAAATTAGTTTATTCTTCGAAGTTAATCAAAAATCTGTATTGTGGTATTCCTTGGATAACAAAATGTTGTGTTTTTCTTCTTAGACTCCAAAGGAATTATCCTTAAGAAAGCTTCCATCACTATTTAGGCTTTGATTTAGAGATGCCTCCATGTTGATTGAAGTATTTTGATGGAT